AAGAGCAGGCCCACCCATGTGGACAGGAGAGGTGACAGGGGATGGGGACATGGAGGATGTGGGACCCCCCTGTTGAGTCCTTTGAACATGGCCGCCATGTCCCACAGGCCCAGGCTTCGCTGTGGGCAAAGGTAAGTTGCTTGGCAAGGGAACAATGGTGGGAGGGGGGATGTTTACATTCATCATTGGTACCTGAGAGTGGATGTTAGGCTGGAAGTTTGAGGGGTTTTGGGCATTGTTGGAGGGCTGGCTGACATGTTTGCTGGGAATGGGATCCAGGATGCCTAAGGGGTCTTTTTCAGAGGTCAACTGCCTTTTCTGAAGGGCACAGGATGGTGGTATGGATGGAGGGGGTACAGGATGCATAGGGGGCTGTGTTTTATGGTGAAACGTTGCACGGGGCATATCCATACCAGGGGGGAAGTTCCCCCGAGGCATGTTCATGTTCATGACAGGGCTTTTGGCAGTGGCTGTCGGAGAGAGGGGCGTGCTAGTCCTCCCTGTCATGGCGCAGGATGGCTGGCCTGCAGGGGAGCCATGGAGCAAAACATTGGGTGGGGAAAGAGGAGTCCTAGTGTTACCATGGATAGATGCTGAACCAGGACTGCCTGCTCCTGGAAACCCACAAGGATTTGTCCTTGGAAAGCCATCAGGACTGCCTAGAGTGTCTGCACTGGGAGACTGAGCACCATCTCCATACAGCTTAGCACTGGAGGGAGGTGGGCTCAGCATGCCTCCATACCCAACCCGGTATGGGGATTTGGGGCCTGGCTCCCCACCGCCCAGCCTCTGCTGCCTGGGGTACCCAGTGTAGAGGTCAGGCTGCTGGGCTCCACCCACCTCCTGGGGTAGGTACAGCCTATGCTGCTGCTGCTGTCCAGCTGCCATCATCATCTTGAAAGGATTCTTGCAGTCTTGTCCAACAGCATTTGGCAGACCATCATGGGGTTTAGTCCTTATTACTCGTTGAGACGTTGAATGCGCAGAGACCACTGATGATGTACCTTGAGGGGTCATAAAGAATATTTACGTCAAACCAATACTAATAACTTGGGCAACATTTAAGACAAAACAGGAAAGTCATTGTTATCAACTGACCAGACTGGTTGGCAAACAAGGAAAAGAAATTACCTTAAATCAAACATTCCACAAATTAAGTTGATAGAGCTGGATTTACAGGTACTCTTACCTCCCCCTGGACTGGTCAGTGTCAGAGGTGGGTGCGTCTCCATGCTCCTGTGCAGCGTAGCCACAGCCAGAAGCTTCCTCTTGTGAATGCAGAGTTTGGTGACGTCTTCATCCGCTTTCACATCCTCTGCTGTCCTCTGATGGACAGCTGCCCCTGGGTCGAAGTTAAACACCTAAGGAGAACGATATTTAATGAGATATACATTCACCGCTGCCCTTAAAAAATTGTACCACACATGTACACCATATTCTATGCCAATGAGTAAGATTGATGTCTCAAAGCAGAAAATAATCTATTCTAAGTTTAAACATAAGTTTAATAGAATGTGATACACTTAAGAAGCAAACCAATAACAGAATGAAACCCTGACATCAGTTTAATGTTCTGAAAATGTTGTGTCATCATAGGATAATTTAAGGAGTAGGGAAGTCAAAATGTTTCCAAAACAAGACTACATAAGCCCAATATAATGGCCTGATAGGACAGACATGGTGTGTTGGGGACAAATTTAGCTTCAAGAAGGATAATCTGTTGGGTTACCCTTTGTAATGTGAGACTGTGGACTCCTCACAGCATCTGCACATCTGTGGATTGGTGTTTCAAATTGATTCATACATTGTCAAGCATATGGAAGGGAGTGGAGAAGTGAATTAGGCTGCAGGAGAGCTTTCTCTGGACAATTTTATGTACCTTTATTCCGTGGAAACCGCTCCCTTTTGGGGTTCATTGTGACGTTAATTTAAGCTGACCACAGCCACAGCGCTCTATGAAGGACGAAACTACAAACGTTTTTACAGCCACCTTCCAAGCTGGGATTTACTTTTTGATCCATTTCTACAGAAACAAAAGCATCACTTTTAACAATAGCCTGTCAGAAGTTGTTTTAACCTTGACTTGAACAGTGTGACACCATTTCATTCTCTCAGACATGTTTATTTCCTCCCTCATCAATTTCTCTCATTTTCAGCTGTAGAAAATGTGTCCCGTCTTGACTTGTCATGGACAAGAGCTGATTGTCTATTTTGAATGAGGACATAATGTATTCTGAGGAAGCCTTTTGCTTACACTCATGTTAATGAGTTGCAGCAACTGCATCTATAACAATTGGAAAGTTCCTAATTACCAACAATAGGTCTGTGTCAAATGACAATAAGTTAACGTGTCCATCAAAATGACAGTAATTTTTGCAGAAGAAAATGCTTAAATTTAAGCTATGGTAGGCAAGTTCTGTCAAAATAAAATCATTAAACTGACAACCATTTTTAGAGCATTTGACTTATTAACTGCTGTTGAGACAAAAAAAGAATTTAAACAAATATAAAAGAAGACTTCAACATTATTGTGCCCATCCTATTTTTTATGAAGATGAATGTATGAGGCTTATGGATGGAAAAAACAATGATTTCTTGTTCCTCCTGTGGAAACTAGAGATAAAAAGATCTCCTCCTTAAAAAACATACTTTGAGGTGTTCGATTTCATCGTCTCTAAACAGCAGGGATGGGACCAAATGCATGATCACTCCAACTAAACCCGAAATCCAGTTAAAGGTTGTGAAGTATTATTTTCAAGATCCAATAGCAGACAACATCTAACTGGATTTCGGGTTTAGTTGGAGTGATCATGCATTTGGTCCCATCCCTGCTGTTTAGAGACGATGAAATCGAACACCTCAAAGTATGTTTTTTAAGGAGGAGATCTTTTTATCTCTAGTTTCCACAGGAGGAACAAGAAATCATTGTTTTTTCCATCCATAAGCCTCATACATTCATCTTCATAAAAAATAGGATGGGCACAATAATGTTGAAGTCTTCTTTTATATTTGTTTAAATTCTTTTTTTGTCTCAACAGCAGTTAATAAGTCAAATGCTCTAAAAATGGTTGTCAGTTTAATGATTTTATTTTGACAGAACTTGCCTACCATAGCTTAAATTTAAGCATTTTCTTCTGCAAAAATTACTGTCATTTTGATGGACACGTTAACTTATTGTCATTTGACACAGACCTATTGTTGGTAATTAGGAACTTTCCAATTGTTATAGATGCAGTTGCTGCAACTCATTAACATGAGTGTAAGCAAAAGGCTTCCTCAGAATACATTATGTCCTCATTCAAAATAGACAATCAGCTCTTGTCCATGACAAGTCAAGACGGGACACATTTTCTACAGCTGAAAATGAGAGAAATTGATGAGGGAGGAAATAAACATGTCTGAGAGAATGAAATGGTGTCACACTGTTCAAGTCAAGGTTAAAACAACTTCTGACAGGCTATTGTTAAAAGTGATGCTTTTGTTTCTGTAGAAATGGATCAAAAAGTAAATCCCAGCTTGGAAGGTGGCTGTAAAAACGTTTGTAGTTTCGTCCTTCATAGAGCGCTGTGGCTGTGGTCAGCTTAAATTAACGTCACAATGAACCCCAAAAGGGAGCGGTTTCCACGGAATAAAGGTACATAAAATTGTCCAGAGAAAGCTCTCCTGCAGCCTAATTCACTTCTCCACTCCCTTCCATATGCTTGACAATGTATGAATCAATTTGAAACACCAATCCACAGATGTGCAGATGCTGTGAGGAGTCCACAGTCTCACATTACAAAGGGTAACCCAACAGATTATCCTTCTTGAAGCTAAATTTGTCCCCAACACACCATGTCTGTCCTATCAGGCCATTATATTGGGCTTATGTAGTCTTGTTTTGGAAACATTTTGACTTCCCTACTCCTTAAATTATCCTATGATGACACAACATTTTCAGAACATTAAACTGATGTCAGGGTTTCATTCTGTTATTGGTTTGCTTCTTAAGTGTATCACATTCTATTAAACTTATGTTTAAACTTAGAATAGATTATTTTCTGCTTTGAGACATCAATCTTACTCATTGGCATAGAATATGGTGTACATGTGTGGTACAATTTTTTAAGGGCAGCGGTGAATGTATATCTCATTAAATATCGTTCTCCTTAGGTGTTTAACTTCGACCCAGGGGCAGCTGTCCATCAGAGGACAGCAGAGGATGTGAAAGCGGATGAAGACGTCACCAAACTCTGCATTCACAAGAGGAAGCTTCTGGCTGTGGCTACGCTGCACAGGAGCATGGAGACGCACCCACCTCTGACACTGACCAGTCCAGGGGGAGGTAAGAGTACCTGTAAATCCAGCTCTATCAACTTAATTTGTGGAATGTTTGATTTAAGGTAATTTCTTTTCCTTGTTTGCCAACCAGTCTGGTCAGTTGATAACAATGACTTTCCTGTTTTGTCTTAAATGTTGCCCAAGTTATTAGTATTGGTTTGACGTAAATATTCTTTATGACCCCTCAAGGTACATCATCAGTGGTCTCTGCGCATTCAACGTCTCAACGAGTAATAAGGACTAAACCCCATGATGGTCTGCCAAATGCTGTTGGACAAGACTGCAAGAATCCTTTCAAGATGATGATGGCAGCTGGACAGCAGCAGCAGCATAGGCTGTACCTACCCCAGGAGGTGGGTGGAGCCCAGCAGCCTGACCTCTACACTGGGTACCCCAGGCAGCAGAGGCTGGGCGGTGGGGAGCCAGGCCCCAAATCCCATACCGGGTTGGGTATGGAGGCATGCTGAGCCCACCTCCCTCCAGTGCTAAGCTGTATGGAGATGGTGCTCAGTCTCCCAGTGCAGACACTCTAGGCAGTCCTGATGGCTTTCCAAGGACAAATCCTTGTGGGTTTTCCAGGAGCAGGCAGTCCTGGTTCAGCATCTATCCATGGTAACACTAGGACTCCTCTTTCCCCACCCAATGTTTTGCTCCATGGCTCCCCTGCAGGCCAGCCATCCTGCGCCATGACAGGGAGGACTAGCACGCCCCTCTCTCCGACAGCCACTGCCAAAAGCCCTGTCATGAACATGAACATGCCTCGGGGGAACTTCCCCCCTGGTATGGATATGCCCGTGCAACGTTTCACCATAAAACACAGCCCCCTATGCATCCTGTACCCCTCCATCCATACCACCATCCTGTGCCCTTCAGAAAAGGCAGTTGACCTCTGAAAAAGACCCCTTAGGCATCCTGGATCCCATTCCCAGCAAACATGTCAGCCAGCCCTCCAACAATGCCCAAAACCCCTCAAACTTCCAGCCTAACATCCACTCTCAGGTACCAATGATGAATGTAAACATCCCCCTCCCACCATTGTTCCCTTGCCAAGCAACTTACCTTTGCCCACAGCGAAGCCTGGGCCTGTGGGACATGGCGGCCATGTTCAAAGGACTCAACAGGGGGTCCCACATCCTCCATGTCCCCATCCCTGTCACCTCTCCTGTCCAC